GGTCCTATTAGGGGTTCTGGACCCCTTTTTTTTTTTTGCAGGGTGCTGACCACCCCCGGCGGGTCGGCAGGTTGGCAGCTGACCAGTCAAGGGCCACCGACCGTCGGGGTGTGCGACACTGGAACTTAGCATAAAAGTTACAAGGGCAAAAAATGTTTAAAAATCATGCAGTCGACCAGTCAAGGGCCGCCGACCGCCGGGGTGTGCGACACTGGAACTGAGCATAAAAGTTAAAAGGGCAAAAAATGTTTAAAAATCACCAAATTCTGCCGTCTCAACATTTTGCACAGCAGCTGCCCCACCCCGCCTTGACACCTACCCACCCACCAAACTGGTCCATGACAAGCGTGTGACTTGAGGATTTCATCGGGATCATTGGGATCAGTGGCGGTTTAAGAATGTAAGTGGTGGCAAAGCTGACGCTTTGAGGATCCATGAGAGCTCAGCGTTGTCTTCAAGATTGGTATCTGAGCAGTTGAGATGTCATATCTGGGATGGCCAAGGTGAAACGGCAGTGATCAGCCTTATCTTATGCTGGTTATGGTTGGCAAGGGCGTACCCACTCTAGGGCTTTACTGGATGTATCACGGTAGTTAGGACGAGGTTTTGTCAAAAAGTTTCAGGGGAGTATCACCTATCATGTTCTTGTGGTGGATGCTGGTGAGTTGTTTCACTGACAAAGTACTGTTATGGCTGGTTGTCTTCGATTATGGCAGGTGTCGCATTGCCACGACTCAGTGGTGTATGCATTGGCCCCGCTCAAATATGCCACAGTCTGTGGCTGCACGGATAGCATTGTTGTACTTGGGGCAGTTGGCAAGGTCTGTCTCTTCGCCCTCTCGACTATTGATAATTGTGTGAGAATTGGATCAGAAGGCATGTGAGCCACTCTCCGCATGGTTGTCAGAGGTTAATGATAACTTGCACCATGTCTTCGATTGTCACAACTCTCTCTCTCTCTCTCTCTCTCTCTCTCTCTCTCTCTCTCTCTCTCTCTCTCTCTCTCTTTTCTCTCTCTCTCTCTCTCTCTCGCAGACGTGCACACCTTGTTGTCATGATGATGAGATTCGATCCTTTGTTTGAAGGTTCCTCACCCTTGCTCAAATGCTTGAATGATGGTCGTCTGGGTCGGAACTGAGCCGTTGCCCCTGCATAGGGGGCTAACAAATTCTCTTTTTTTCCGCCGTTCTTTTTCTTTTCCGTTGTTTTTTCAGTTTGGGTGCTCCTTTGGGACTTCCTCTCGGACTTTGTGCACTAATCATTTCCTTGCACCCCTTGGGTGAAACAAGGACCCGTCTTGGTGCTGTGTTGGCCGAACTCCCTCTGGGCTTGGACACCTTGTTGTCACGATGATGAGATTCGATCCTTTGTTTGAAGGTTCCTCGCCCTTCCTCAAATGCTTGAATGATGGTCGTCTGGGTCGGAACTGAGCCGTTGCCCCTGCATAGGGGGCTAACAAACTCTCTTTTTTTCCGCCGTTCTTTTTCTTTTCCGTTGTTTTTTCAGTTTGGGTGCTCCTTTTGGACTTCCTCTCGGACTTTGTGCACTAATCATTTCCTTGCACCCCTTGGGTGAAACAAGGACCTGTCTTGGTGCTGTGTTGGCCGAACTCCCTCTGGGCTTGGGTTATGTGCGTGCTGCCTGTCAAGCAGAACAAACATGCTGTATGCAAAGAGCCCGCAATCTTCACCTTGGTGGACTGCAAAAAAAAGTGACACACCTTTTGTCCTGGGAAGAAACAGAACACTGCCTTGCAGTCAGGGAAAAGTGCCGTACCGCCTTGTCTTGTCTTGGGCAGAAGCAGGACACTGAGCCGCGTTGCTGTGATGCAGCATACCGTCTTTGTCTGTTGCAGAGTCAGCACACCAAGGTGCCTGGGTGTGCTGCACCACACCGTCTCGTCTTGAGCAAAAGCAGCACAACATGGTGGCCTGCTGTGATGCAGCACAGCATCTCACCACGGTGCTTTGGTGTGATGAACCTCACTGTGTCTTGTGCTGGGCAAAAGGACGCCGTGGTGGCTTTCTGCTCTGCAACAGTGTCTTGACTTGGGGCAGTGGGCGTCCATGGCTGGCTGGGTGACAGACGTTCCTGAGACTTACTGCAAATTCTTTTCAGTGTTTCGGACTGACAGTCTGCTAGGATTGCACGGTTGGTGTGATGGGTGAAGTCTACCACTTTTCTCAGCGGTATCACTAACTCTGGGCGATGTAGTGAGTCCTTCCTTCCGACAGACTGTCGGGGTTTGGCCTTGTGATGAGTCAGTGAAAGGTCAACGAAACAGTCTGGCACAGTTGCCATTTTCCTGTGCAGTTGTGTATACTGAACATAACGACACAGATGTGTCGCTGAAAGTCCGACGAAAATGTTGTGCACTGTCATGCTTTTTTCATTTTGAACATAACGACACAGATATGTCGCTGAAAGTCCGACAAAAATGTCGTGCACTGTCATGGTTTTTTCATTTTGAACATAACGACATAGATATGTTGCTGAAAGTCCGATGAAAATGTTGTGCACTGTCATGCTTTTTTCATTTTGTGGAGTTGTGTATTGGAAAAATTCCAACTCACTCATGACAGAAAGAAGAGAAACTAGGAAAAAGCCGAAGTAAGGAAAGAGAAGTCAGAACTGCACAGGAATAGGCAAAACAACGGGTTTAGTCTTGCTTCATGTCGATTGCTTGGCAAAGTGCACTCCTTTAGTTGACAAACTGATATATATGTGACAATACTTGACTGGACAGAAGATTGTAAGACATTGTCTCTTCCATTTTGTATCTACTCATCTGGGTCCAAAAGGGTTTGTCATGGTGAGAGTTGAAAAAAAAAAAAAACCACGAAAATGCATTGGCCCCTGAATGATGATGCCAGCATGACTAGATGGATCAATCTGCACGTTTATGGAGGTTGCTTTGGTTGAGTAATAGTATGATAAGGGGGCAGGCGCTTACATTACTGAGTAATAATATTGTGCGTTGGACCTTGGATTCAAACTCATTTGCAACCGGTTCTGGCCCCACTTTTTCTGGCCCCACTTTTCTGGCGGTATGATTAAGGTTTGAAGGATCCTGGTGCATCTGTTGACATATGCAGGTTGTGAAGGTTGAACACTGTGAAAGAGTGCAGTTGATTGTGCCATGTGGACGAATTAGGATCGGAAACTGCCGAGAGTGCCTTTTCTATCTTGGAACAAACCAAAGTCCGCTCGTGCTCGGAAATAACTACAAGATTCAGGTAAGTTGAAGCAGCATGTGTTCTAAACTTCTCACCCCTGCTGTAGGAGGGATTAAATATTTGAACAGGGGGAAGACAGTATGTGTGCTATGTTGTGCAACTCGATTCCAAGATGTTCAGTAACCAGAATGCGTCTGAATGATTGTTCTTCTCAGAGTACACATGGATAGGGAGATGGACAGATTCATGAATGTCACCCCAAGACGGATATGTGCTGGTGCATTATGACAGAGACAGCGGAGGTTGTAGGGGCCGGTCGAGACAGGCAGATTCAAGAATGCCAGGTGGATATGCAGATGCTCTTGAATGTTCCGTCGTGGACAGACCAGGTAGTGGGGTTGGATGCCTGCCCGGATTTCTAAGGGCCACACTGTCTGGCACAAACAGCTCTGGATCCGTATCCAGATAAAAAACGGGCTGCTGTCAGTGGAGAGCCGGACAGTCTGGACCCTAAAAATCTAGCTTGACAGTCACACGCACTACCTCGCTTTCATGTCTGAAAGACTTGTCGGTATCACTAAGTATGTAACTATCGCTAATTTCCTGCCTGTGACAAGCAGACAATCTGGGCCCTCCTATCTTTTGCTGCGAGATGGGCCCGATCGTCTGCTGATCGGTTTTTCTTAGAAGCTGAACCGTCGTACCCGTCCCGTGGTGCCCCACGCGCGGTACTGGGCCCGCGTGCCTACCGGGGCATTGGGCATTTACCAGGCTCGTGGGCCTACAGGGTGCACCACGTGTGGTACCGACGCGTGGGACCGGGCCCGTGTGCCTAACCTGGCATTGGGCATTACCAGGCCTGCGTGCCTACAGGGCCAGTGCCGGTACCGCGAGCTTTACTGGGCCAATGCACGCGCGGAGCATATACTAACCAACTTCAGTGTATGCACTGCCCCGGCCTCTTGACACTCTAAGCTACTCTAAGACTTGAACTACAGACACACTACGCTACTCGAAGACGTTGTCGACTGGACTCTGCGCTGCTCTACGCGTTCTACACACACACACACACACACACGTGAGCACATACACATGCACAGAATGTTGGGGTTCAACCTCCTGATGAGTCGGTGAAAGCCCGACGAAACAGTCTGGCACAGTCATGCTTTTTTTTTAGTGTACTGAATATGACAACACACACACACACACAGGCACACATAAACGCACCATCCTCTCTCTCTCTCTCTCTCTCTCTCTGTGTGTGACACACTATAATGACCGCACGTTGTATTTGGGTGAAGATGGTACCTGGACAATCTTGACCCTGGCTTTCATGTCTGAATGATTTGTCGGTATGGATGCATAACACAAGGAATCAAGGTCAAAGCCAGCACAGCAAAGTCTGGGGACAGTAGATTTCGGCCAAGTCAAAGCTATAGGATCAAAAACGAACCTAGAGCCTCTAGAGAGGCTCAGGAAGTCCTCATTTTTCGGTAGGCGTGGGGTGGAAGGGCAGTACTGGTACGCCAGTCCCGAAAAGTCTCCAGAAGTCGATCACGGCTACCGATCACACACATTCAGGGTGAGGGAACACACTGGCCGGGATGCAATCTGGGCCTCAAAAGATCAGAGAGTCTCGGCCGTTCAAGGAGGCAACTTGGGACAGTCCCATCCGAGTAAGGATCACAAAGGACATGCCTGCCTCAGCTCAGGGATTCATTCTATATGGCATTGCTGGAGGCTGGAGCGTTGATTGATTGCTAGTGCTGGAGGAAAGCAGGGAAAATCGGGCAGAGAGTGAAAATGGGAGATGCCATAGCTATAGAGTAGAAGGTGCACTGACACCATTGTTTGGCAGGAGAGGTGAGGTCTGAAGGATAGATAATTTCCCGTTCTCAGAGAGGGCAGCGTGAGAGATGCTTACCTGGTCTTGCTTGCTGATGTTGACGTGATGAAAGAAACAGTAATTCAGTTTCTGAAGGCTGGCACTATGTTGATTATTCTTCACTGCGCCCAAGCGAGATAGAATTAGGGAGTGGCTTTGCATATTGCTGAGGTGTTGAGGAGAGATATACTGACTTCATCATTGCTAGAGAGCTAGGATGATGAATGTGTAGAACCCAGAGGAGTACCCTGAGGTAGAAGGGAGAAGCAGAGCGAAGGCACTGTATATCAATTGCCTAATATTTACAAGTGATCCGCCTACTTCTTTCATTCTCTTTATGCTGGTTTGCTGTGTTACCTCTTTCCGACCATCATTTAGCATTCCAAGTTACATGCATGATGTTGATGGTGTGAGCTTCTCGGACTTGGGCTCATAACAACAGCATGCGTATTTGGTAATCTGCCCTGACCAGTTGGTATGAAATTGTAATCGTCTTGGAACTCCCTCTCATCCTCCTTTCTTTTGCGAGCTCTTCCTGGGTATGCCCACATTTAATGTTGTCCCTAATTGGCACTTCTGGTTTTCAGCAGGGATGGAAAGCGGCCCTGCCTTAAGTATAAGGCTTGGCTATTGACAATCACACTGATCGTCCTATATGGCAATCCAGAAACTTCACGAAATATCAGGGCAATTTAATAGGAGTACACATGATGCATATGTATTAGACAGGTCCCTCGTCGTCAAAGCTGGGTAGCCAAGCCGGAAGTGCGGCTGGATTTCTAGGGCCAGCTGGACGATCTGAACAGGTGTGGGTTCGGTTCCAGGATCAAAGGTTGCACCTTTGTCTGGTGATGAACAGTGGACAGCTTTTCTGGGTTTGGACCCGGGGCTTTCTGCACCAAACCATTGGAACTGTGGAATCTTGCTCTATGTCCAGCCCCACTACCTAACATGAAGGTAAAGACCGCTTGCCTGAAATGTGAGCTGTCCCAAGTATTAGCACTCTGATTGCTGAAGCACAAATGGTCCCCTGTCTGTTTTGTGAGGAGATGGTAGCATTGCTGTCAATCCTTCCAGAGGTTCAGGTTGGGCATGGATTTGAAGTTTTGTGTAGGTGGGATCAGGAGGCGTGGGCTCTGGTTCATGGTATACTTCATGCTTGCAACCCCTCTGTGCTGGGAGGCTATGGGCAAGGTTTCGTGTGGAACCATCCTGGCTTGTCTGAGGTTGGGCTCTGTAAACAGCTTCCTAAATCTGCAAGCAGCCCATAGATTGAGCTCTGTGAACAGCTCGCTGCAAAACCCTGCCTACAATGGGTGTATTTGGCCTGCTGTTTGTCTCCCTAGATGGATGCTTAATTGGACTTCTACATTATTCATTTTGAAAGGGAAAGAGAGCAAGGTTTTCCTTATTGCGACTGGAATTGCAAGATTGTCGTTGGTCAGTGATTGGATCTCTGTCCATACTGCGACAAGACTGAAACCGGTTCGGGAAAAGTTCTTTTGGCCTATTCCTTTGGGTTGGTGCTAGGGCTGAAGTGGTGTGCAAGTGACTTTTGTTTCCAATTCATGGCCATCTTGGAAATCTGGTGTTGATAAATTGCAACCGCCACCTTGCAATGTTAACGGATGTTGGATGTTGGTCATTGACGAAAGCATTTGGTGCTTTTTTTGAGTGCTTTCATGTTGTGATGTTTGAAGTCGAATGTGCTGATGTTGATGGGCATTCTTGTGTTTGGTGCTCGGAGGCAGATAGCTCCATATAATACATTCTATGCTAGACTGGACATGCATCTGGCAGCTGTGAGCGTCGACCCTTCAGTGAACAAGTGGAATGAGCCTTTGCTGATCACGGCGGCAGAGGCGAGCGATGTGGCTGTATCGAATGACGCTCAAGTGGATCCGTCAACACTACTGCTTGCCCCGGAACGCTTCGTGCCGTTTGTGGTAAAGAAACACTGTGCCCTTGCTTTGCTGTGTCGGTGGGTTTTTATGAATTAGTTGCGAGCTTAACCCTGTCTTGTGCACATGCAGTTAATTAGGGTTGCCTTCGTATCTGGAAGAAAGGAGGTTATCTTGGCTAACTTGTTAATAAAACACCAGTGCACATCAAAACCATTCCTGAACTTTACATATGTATATCTCTCACATTTGCGTGTGTTTGTGCTGGGGCACAAGAGAGAGAGAGAGAGAGAGAGAGAGAGGGATGGAGGAAGGGAGAGATAGAGAGAGAGAGAGAGAGAGAGAGAGAGAGAGAGAGAGAGAGAGAGAGAGAGAGAGAGAGAGAGAGAGAGAGAGAGAGAGAGAGAAAACGGAGTATAAATTATTTGCTATATGGAAGATGCACATCGGAATTCCCCTTTTTTTCTGTGTTTCAAAAAGTCTGCCTTCATACAATCATGTCGAACTGTCAGATTGTTCTCTTTGGAAAGTTTATACCCAGCTTCATTGAATCAATTGGTCAGTGCTTTGGTATGTTCAAAGCTCAGGATGCCGCAGTTAACGCACAGCTGGAAAGATACTTCAACTACCCAATCACTGTACTTCACTACGTACTCAAGATATGAATTCCAAGAAGGTGGCGTCTCTCTGTCTGTCTCTCTCTCTCTCTGTCTCTCTCTCCCCCTCTTCCTGCCTCTCTCTCCCTCTCTCTCCCTCTCTCTCCCTCTCTCTCCCTCTCTCTTCCTCTCCCTTTCCCCCAGTTTCTCTGTGTTTGCAGGAAGATACTTCTTTCGAACGTCTCAATCACTATACTTCCGTTTTTATCGGTGCATAATAATGATGACACCCGGAGTAGTCACCCGGACGGTCGGTGCCCCTGGATTGGTCGGGGGCCGACCAGCCGACGGTCGGACTGGCCCGCACCTATCGGTCGGGGGTCGGTCGGCACCCTGTATAAAATATATATAATATATATTATGAAACAGAGCTGCACGGTAAACCGCAGGCAGAGAGGGAGAAGAGGACAACAAACGAGGGGCTGTGACAAACTGTTTCGTTGGAGATTCACCCACTCATCAGGAGGCTGAACCCTCAACAATCTGCAGAATCCCCTATATATATATTTGAGTCCAGAACCTCAAATAACCCCATCAACACCCCATAGCCCCCGCCAACACCCCCATACCACCCTCTAACACCCTCATACCCCCCCCTTTAACACCCCACAACCCTCCGATAACCCCCTATACCTCCCTCTGTAAGCCCCACCACCCCCAAAAAGAATTATTCCGGATTTGGGCTGCTCTCCTCGAGCTGCGCATGACCATGTAATCAGGAAAAAAAAAAAAGTTGTAAGGGAGTCTAATGGCCGCCAACAGGTCCGCCTTCGGGTTGGCCCAACTGGTAGGCGCGCCTACCGCCTATGGTAGACGTCGGCCGTAGGTGCCAAAACTACCCTTGTTTCTCTCTGTCTGTCTATGCCGCTGTGGCATCTGCTACTACACTTATTTCTCTCTGTCTGTCTATGCTGCTGTGGAAGGATTACTTAGTTTCAATGGCCCAATCACTTTCCCTCTTTATCCACGTAGAATAATGATGGGATCGGCCTTTGTCATAAATGGTTCAACATACTTCAGAAAAAAAAAACACAAAGGTAACAAAAGTGGTGTCCCTTCCGCCTCTCTCTATGTGTAAAAGATACTTCATTCAGTGGTTGTGGAACTGTCTTTCTTATTCATCTCTAATAGTGATGAACACTTATTTCTCTCTGTCTGTCTATGCCGCTGTGGAAGGATTACTTAGTTTCAATGGCCCAATCACTTTCCCTCTTTATCCACGTAGAATAATGATGGGATCGGCCTTTGTCATAAATGGTTCAACATACTTCAGAAAAAAAAAACACAAAGGTAACAAAAGTGGTGTCCCTTCCGCCTCTCTCTATGTGTAAAAGATACTTCATTCAGTGGTTGTGGAACTGTCTTTCTTATTCATCTCTAATAATGATGACATTGACCTTTTTGTCACAATTTGCCCAACATACTAAATAATAGAGAAAGATGGAAAAGAATGGCATCTCTCTCTCTCTCTCTCTCTCTCTCTCTCTCTCTCTCTCTCTCTCTCTCTCTCTCTCTTGGGCGGGCGCGCGCATTGACCTTTTTGTCATAATTGGCCTAACATACTAAATAATAGGGAGTGGTGGAAGAAAGTGGCATCTCTCTCTCCCTCTCTCTTTCTCTATCTATCTATCTATCTATCTATCTATCTATCTATCTATCTATCTCTTTGTCTGTGTGTGTGTGTCGTGCGAAATGTTTGGACGTGACATCAGTCATTGTGATGCAACATGTTATGTTCAACTGGGCATGGACAAATTGACTGTTTCTGAACTTGTCGTTGTTCTGCCGGGCAATGCTTTTTATTGCAATCAGGTGCCGTTCCGGAGTGCGGGGTCTGCATACAACAGCTCAACTACTAGCAGTGGCAATGTCTGGGGTAATAGTGGCATGGTGGGTGGAGGGTCCGGTGATGCGCACCCAATGATTACCAAAGCAAACCCATTTATGCTGCCAGAGAGCTACCGCACGTCCATCAAGCAGAAGGTGAGAGAGTCAGAAAGCTCTACTGAAAGTCAATTGATGGTGATATCATGTTCTTCTTTTTCCATTCATGGCTCTTTCACCATCTTTCACCAGTTGGCTGACCTCTGGGCAAGACGCGTGGATGCTAAGAGTGGAAGAAGCAATGACCATCTTTTCTGCCATCAACTGGAACTAAATTCCACCATCGCCACAAGAAAAAGAAGGGAAAAAAATGAGAAAAAGGAAAAGGAAAAGACAATCTATCAGAACTTGCAGACATCCGCATGAATGATGAATCATGGGGACTTCCAGATGTCTGGTGGCAGTCCAATAGTGATGATGGTATCTGCCTTTCTCATAGAAACAACATTGGCAGTGGGTGGTCTTTCAAATCCTCGCCTTTTCAATAGTGCTCTTTGGTTCTCTATTTCTGGACACAGCTGTGGAACATGACAGCAGTTGAATGGGCATCTTGTTTATGTTGGGCTTAGGCCGCTGCCCATTTGTTTGTGCTTTTCTAGGTGTTTCTATATGTTCATCCTTATGTAGATAGAATGCCAGTCGGGTTCATTTGGCGGGAGGATGTTTACATGGGTTAGCTTTTGTTGTTGAGATGTGGATTGGCTTCATCAAATTTAGGGGCAGGAGGGTGTGAGGGGTTGAGTGGGATTCGTTTGTGTCAGTATGGTAGTGACTTGCGAGGGACATCTCGTGTTGGTGCCGGTGATTGTGACTTTTGATAGCGAGCATCTGCTTGTCCTTAGGAGTGACTATTTCCAGGGGCTTCGCAATGCATCCGCTGCTCAGAACACTGTTCATCAGATCACCACTGGGAATCGGCAGCTTAGGCGATCTCATGGTGATAGAATCAGCTGCCTGCCTGCGGATAATGAGTAGAATAGGCAATCGAGGAAGGCAAGCTAATACCGAAGACGGATGACAAGCATGCAAGCCTGAAATCAACGACTGTTTTCTTCACATGACCGTCCTGTGCTCTCATGGTGACTCGACGTGACCATGTGGTGAAGTACTCGTGGGGACTGGTTGTGACCATGTGGTGAAGTACTTTAATCGCCAACCACTCTTCTTTATCTCAACTGGATTCACGAGTGTGCATGTCGCTGTTCTTTATTGGTCTGGTGCTGCCTCTCAGGGTAGCACTCCATGCGTCCCGTCTGCTCCCCTCCTGGATTTCCTGTGAGCGGTGAGCTCTGCCTAGATGGTGGGGTCTGGTTGAGTGCGCAAATCCACTCCGGTGTTGGTAGTCACGTGTTGTCAAGTGCTTAGAACCTAAACTTGATTACGCCCTGACAAGAGGCGCGACTTTTGCAGCGTAGTCGATGCACAGTGGCTCTCAAGCATGCTCGCAGTTTCGTAGCACTTGCAGTACTGTGAGGTCGTCTGTGCCATCGCTGTCATCACTTCTCTTTCAGCTTCCCACTTTCATTGATTTCACGCGCATTGTGTTTTTTTTTCGTAGAGTTCCGGATAGACATAAACAAAAACCAATAGTACTGGCGTTTTTCGGAATTTTGTGGTGCATCATTGTTGTTCAATAATCTGTTCTCCAATCTCCATATTCCCGTGTATATGGGGCCAAGCAGACTTGAACCCATCGCCTACTGATTGCTACTCTCATGCTTTGTTTAAATAAATGATGTAGGCTCCTGGGCCCTGACCCTGGGCTCTCCTTTTTTCTCGAGTTCCTTGTTTTTTCAGAGTTATTGTCGCCATCTGATTATTGGACGACTTGAGCCCAGGTCTGTTTATCAACGGTGCATGGGTATACCATTCACTTACACGGCTTGGTCTGGAATGTTTTGTGTTGATGATGCTTCTGAATGTCAGGCCAACGTGGTGCGAAATATTTTCTGTTTATTGTGGAGGAATAGATGTGAGTTGCCAGGACTGGCCCAAGTTGCAGTGACATAATTTGGATGGATTGGAGGCCTTTTTGTCTGTCACTGTATTAATGGTGTCTGAGAGTGGCGGCTGATGATATCTTTTTGCTTGCTTGGCTGGGAAATGTGGCAGAAAGAAATTGTGGAAAACCTAAGACAAACACTGAAGACCGCCGTGCTTGATGACAACAAGAGGAGGGAACTTATGAACGTCATTCAGGGACATTTCAAAGAGTGGCTGATAAGTAAGAGTCCATCTGCAACCTTTTCACGAGCATAGCTTAGGTCATCGATCCATCATTGTACTTCCACAGGGCTGCTTTGTCAGTATGTCTACAATTCAGATTGTTTCGTTGGGTTCTGACGAAGAGAAGACTCTTCTTAGTGTTGTGGAAGTCTAGTGCAGTGCTATTGCTGACTGTGTCTGGACACTTCGGCGACGGAGTATTCGAAGGTACAATAAAGCTGTGGGAGTAGTTGGTTACAAGGACACTTGTGCTGTCCTTAGAGGTACAATAACGCTTGTGCTGTCCGAGGCACAATAATGCTGTGGGAGTAGTTGGTCGCAAGTACACGCGTGCTGTCCTTAGGAGCACCGGCTGCTGCGGGAATTGCATTATCACCACATTCCCAGAAATTGACTATGGGTGCTTTGTTGATGACGCTTCTTTTGTGCTGAATACGTAAGATCATGCGTACATTGTATGTTGAGTTGGAGGCAGAAGAGGTAATCGTTGACATCACAGCCAAACAATGCTGATAGGCGCTGAACTGGTCTTTGTCGAAAACATGTTGCACATTTGAAAAGGAGCATTCAAAGTCAGTCATTTGAACAGAGTCAAAGTCGTCTTGCCGCTTAGCAGTGGAAATGTGTAGGTCAATTTGGAGTGGAGCGATCGTAGTGGATGGGTGAAATGTGTGGCTACAGTTTAAGTGGTAGGATGTCAGTGAGTTAAGTTGTCTTGACACTTGGCAGTGGAAATGTGTGGGTGAGTTTGAATGTGTGGGCGAGGTAAGTGAGAGTGAAGTCGTCTTGCTGCTCAGTGGATCAGTTTAAATGTAGGGATTCAGTGAGCGGAAGGTGTGTGCTGCTTAGCAGTGAAAATGTGTGGTTCTGTTTGTGTATGGGTTTATCTAACAGCAATCTTTGTGCATCTGTGTGCAGCGTCTGGAAACATTCGGCAGATCTATGATCTAGGCAACATAAATCATCGTGATTGCTAGCAGGGAGAAGTCTCTCGGTGACTGTTTGCACGCAAGGAGATGGCAGTGTGGAATCTGCCTCTGTTCCGGTACTCATGCGGAAAGTGACAACCTGAGGGAGGGACACTCCTTCACCTGTCACGTGTGAATTGCATCCTTGCTTTGTGTATGCAAAATGAGATGACGTCACTGTCGAGTGGGCCCCAGGAGGGGAAGAGAGAGGGAGGTAGGGAAAGGAAGGGAAAAATGGAAGGTGGAAATGAAAGGGAGAAAGAGCCAGCGAGTAAGGGATGTGTACTCTTGACAGGCGGAAGGAGAAGCCAGGATGGAATTTGGTGATCGCACGAGTTTGCCACGGTGCATGACTGAGAGCAAGGCAGGAAGATGTTGAGAAATTGGTCAAGTGACCCAATTGTGAGGAGAGCATATTTTCTGATGGTAAGAGAGAGAGAGAGAGAGAGAGAGAGAGAGAGAGAGAGAGAGAGAGAGAGAGAGAGAGAGGAGGATTGCACGCACATAACGAGAGGGGGAGGGGGAGAGAGAGAGGAGATGCACGTATACACACGGAGAGAGAGAAAGAGAGAGAGAGAGAGAGAGAGAGAGAGAGAGANGAGAGAGAGAGAGAGAGAGAGAGAGAGAGAGAGAGAGAGAGAGAGAGAGAGAGAGAGAGAGAGAGAGAGAGAGAGAGAGAGAGAGCACTGATGTGCGCCGAGGAGTTGTTAAGCTTGCCTGAATGGCATGATGTTGCAGATTCCTTTATTCTTGCGCTTTGTTTTTCTTCTATTTTCTCCAATTGTAAGATTCGGTCCTTCCTATTGTGAAGGACTGCTCGCTTAATACAACCAAATTTGTTTGAAATTTGTCCTTGCGTTCTCCTTCTTCCGGTCCATTCTGCAGTTTGTTTTGTCCTCCCCTTCCAGTAAATAGACCCCTGAGAGGGCGAGTGAACGGCACACTTTGCAATTATTGTTCTGCAGCACGTCTGTAGACGAGAATAAACCTGAGGACAAGCCCCATGCAGTTTCAGTGTGTAAGGAGGAAGGGTCTCCTATTCCTGGCTTGAGCCGTTTTTGTCTGATCCTGTCTATAGTAAGTAGAAAAAAAAAAAAGCTTAGTCGAAAGAGCGTATGTCGCACAGAGGGCTGGCATGTTCCTGTGGTTGAGGGGTGTCAGAAAATAGAAGCATGCATGTGGTCGAGGTAATGCCCATCACGCATTTGCGGTTCATGAAGTACAAGATTTTGGGATTGGTAGAGCTCTTCAAATGATCCTATTGCCTGCTCTGTAATTGCTGACGTCTGCCTGTCCGGATGGTACGGTACGGTGTGGCCTCGAATTGCATGTATGTTCTGATATCCATGATTTGCTTCCCTGATCTTCTTGGCGAGGAGTGTTTGCCTGTTTCTTTGGCGGTGCAGTGACCGAACCAGCATGGCTCATCAGCGACATTTGGAGGCGTTCGTACTGACGAGTCAGGGCTTCGTCAGTCATCGAAACACCCTAGAAAAATGATGTGACGTTGACAGACACTCCTTACCTATGAGCATGGCTCAAGAGATTGGGGAAGACCATTGTGGTGGTTATAACTTATCAGGACATCCGTGCCGTGCAATGCAAGGCCGCACTGTACCATCCCATGCGCAATTACTAAATGAACAAGAGGATGATGTGAGGAGCTCGACCATCCCCCCAAAATCTTACCACTTAATGGACCGCCACAAACGCATGATTGGCGCTGTCCACATGCACGCATCTTTTTCAAACACTCCTGCACCCAAAAAACAAAAAAAAAGAACTGAAAAAGGATTGTCTGCAGCGTTTTGGGATCTGTCAACGGTTGGTACGGTTGATTCATTGTTGTACTGGTCGATTGTACAGGAGGTGACTGTGGAAGGTGGGGATGTGGAGCACTGGTGTGATGCCGCATGGAGCTGCAGCGGTCTTGCAAGAAGGTAAGGGCATGGGCATGTATGTAGAGGGTATAGGCGTGATGTTGCAAGCGTGTGGAGGTGCACCAGTCACAGATGAAAGGAGATGGCATGGGGATGTATGCAGAGGGTGGTGATGATATGTGAGTCTGCACATTGCACATCCCCTTGAGCATTTATGCAGATGCTGGGGATGATGCCTACCGAGTGTCCTTCTGGCACCATCCATCGATGCGAGGACTGGGCTTTTCGCATCCATACGGTGCTTTTCCCATCGATGTATACTGTGCCGTCCACCTTTAGCGAGGACAGGGCTTTTCGCATCCGTACGGTGGTGCGTGCACAATTGGCAGGATTTTGTCACGTGGAGTTTTTGAAAAGGCAAAAGGCAGGTAAGGGAGGGAGAAGGGCGGGGGGGGGGAAGGAGGACGAATAGAAAAGAATTCCCAGCTGCGGTGAACTGTTCGGTATGGTTGGTGGTTCGCAGGCGGCAATGCTCCCACGATGATGACGGGGTAAATCGAGGCGCATGCTCTTTGTTCATGATGTCTTTTATATCATCGACGTGCACGAGTTTGAAGGATGCATGTGGGCATTTTACTGTGTTTGCAAATTTCTCAGTGGGTACGGAAGTGGTTTTGCCGAAGCCATCGTGTTTGTGCATGAATGCCACATGTAGAAAACTTGGAAGGTCCCTCTACAGGCTGTGCTGTTTCGAGAATATGTTTATTCTAGATACAAGATGGGACAACCATGGGCATATACTAGGATTTTCTGGACTGAATCTGGCCCTAAGTGCAGTTAGATGCACCGGGAAAAGTTGGAATGTGAGCATATGTTTATTCTGGATACAAGATGGGACAACCATGGGTAATTTTTGGACTGAATCTGGCCCTAAGTGCAGTCAGATGCACCAGGAAAAGTTGGAATGTAAGCATATGTTTATTCTGGGTACAAGATGGGACAACCATGGGTTTTTCTGGACTGAATCTGGGCATAATTGCAGTTAGATGCACCGGGAAAAGTAGGAATGCGAGCTTATGCTACAGCAGATCCATACTATTGTACGCTTTAGATGAGGCTGTCGAAATGATCTCAATTGGGAAGATGGAGTGCGGTGGATGTTTTTCACTATGTGAACTGCCTGTCGTCGTTCACTAGTCTGTACCTGGGTCGGTAATTGCATGTGTGGTTCCTCTCCCCCCCCCCGCCCCTTACCACCTTGGTGTCCACTATCCATGAGGATCGGGGATGCATTAAGTCACCAGTACCTTTGTGGCTCTTTTTTTTTGGATGCACATTTTTGCCCGACCCTCGCATTCAGAAGCTTTGTGGGGTCAAGCCTGCCAGTGGTCCTCTAGGATGACCCTTTCAGCTGCGCCATGTTAGCTTTGGGGGGAGGGGGAGGGGGAGGGGCAGGGGGAGGGGATGCACGTGATAGCTAGCTGGCAGGGGTACTGGTGGCCTGAACCACCTCAACCGGGCCCAGCCAACTCGTTAATGGGCCTTGTGCAGTCAGTTCGGTATGTACACTAGGATTTTTCCAGTCAGCTCTGGACATAATTGTAGTTGCACACATCCACAATTCGGCCGTAATTGCAGTCAGGTACATGTAGGAAAGAGCCAGTGCGAGTGCGCACTCAGGCTAGGTAGATAGTTCTTGTTGTTTCATCCCCTCTCATGTATCATAACTTGAAGCCATCCCCTTCAGATTTCGTTCTGTTTTTTGTTTCCACGCTTCGAGGTTGTTGGCATGTGGGGACATCCTACGTCTATCTGGGCTGTGACGAGTTTGAACCAATTGAACGTTTTGCACGTATGGGGACCATCACCAGCTCCAGGTACATTTAAAATGTTGTGGACTGGAGCAAGGTCCATCGTTTCCCGCTTTCGAGGGCAGGACTGATGGGATTACTGGGTTACATGTCTGCAGAAACTTGTTCAGATGGTACAGGACTTGCCTGCCGAGCAGAAATAGTCAGAAAGCCCAACTAATGACCATTTCCGGTGTATAGAGACGCCAGCGGATGCTGTGAGAACTTTCAAGTTTTTATTTCTGGCTCTACCCGATGCCCCATCATTCTTTCTCCAGTGAATGCTGTGAGAACTTTCAAGTTTTTATTTTTGGCTCTACCCGATGCCCCATCATTCTTTCTCTATCTCGCCTGAAAACGGCACTCGATACAGCCTCTGATTATCAGGCATTGTGCTCCGGAGGAGGTAGTGTGCCACCATGTGGAGGACAAGCCCATCCCAACAATTACAACGGTTGTGATGAGCAGCTGCAGCTGCAGCGAAGTGGTGAGCCGTCCGCGACAAGTCCGGCAACAGTCGTGATGAGCCACTCTCCACTCCACAGCATTCTATACGTATCTGGAATTTTTAATGGTCCTGTACGACTCTGTATGCATTCAGAATGTTGGAACAGTGAGAAAGTAGCTTGTCCACAACATTCTGGTGCCAATGGAGTTGGTAGTTTGAATGTTTCTGGTCCAGTCTAGACCCACAAGGACATGGAGAATGTCGTGTAGTGGAGGATCAAGGCCCCAAGTAATTCAGGCTCAGCATGATTTCTGTTCTTTTTTCTTCTCCATTCAATTCATCACTTCTTTCTTCTGCCATTGTATGTACACTACAAGGGGGTAGATTTGTGCCATGGTGTTAGTGGAGGAGTGAGCTGTACCAGTGGAGGGGTGATTTTGGGATGGGCAGGCATTGCTTGTGGGAAAACACAGGCAGTATAGATAACTGAGATCCACATTCTTTCATCAGCTGTTGCTAGGCTTTGCTAGTGCACTGAACAACCCAATCACTAACTATAGTAGTATAGTCATTGGGTTGCTATTGTTGTCGACGCAGTTCTCAAAAAAAAATAAAAAATAATAAAATAAATTCCCATTAGCTTTGGGAGGTAGGAAGTATGAGTATTTGCTAGACGTGTTGAACATGCTTTTGGGTGCTTGGGGAATAGGCAGTAGTCTCAGCAGGCCTAGTACTTTTGTTTTGCTGACATAATTCTCATTCCCTGTTGTATCGAATACCATTAAACTTCAGACATGCCCAAGTGAATGAACGCAGCAAGTTGGTATCAGTCGTCTGCCAACCGACATGTCCATTCGCATCATGGCACCCTGGAAGTATAACACTGCAAGTCGACTTGTCATTTGCAAGACACAATGCTATCTCCCCTCTAGAAGTCGTCTAGAAGTCAGCGAATAGCAGTCCTATGCTCTAGACCTATACTCTAGGGCATGTTCCGGCGTACTCTTTCACTTCACTGAGGATGGAGCCTTTGACATATGCTTCCCCAATCTTCTATTGAAGGTGACCATGAAACAGAATTGACCAGCTCTGTCCAACAACGCATTTGCAACTATATTCTTTTTTAGTCGTCTCAGGTTAACGCTTGAAGTCGAACTTGCCTCTCTCATGTGCCCACTTGACTAGATTAGACTTCAGGTTAACCCCCATTTCGGATAATATCTCGTGATATGACTACAGCTCTCTCTTGTGCCCACTTTAGCTTCACCCCCACTTCAGCTTCAGCCGCACTTAGGAGGTAGTGCCTGTATGTCTTTCGTGCTTTGAAGTTTATACCGGTTGTTCAACCCCTGCTCTTGTATATATAGTGACCTTTTGGGAGGGCATACGAGTAGAAATGAATTCTACAAGGCGTTCCTTGCACCCATCGTCTTTGCTCAAGGAGAGCACCAAATCCCCTATTTACTTGTCCATTTCATCTACAAATGGTAAGGAAGAGGTGCGCAGTTTGTTTTTCTCTTTCACTCTCATGTTGTCATCTTTTTCAGTAGTTTAGGCAATGGGTTTGCAATTGAACCAAAGGTGTGAATGGACTTCCTATAGTAATTAGCGAATCCTTTGAATGATCGCAGTTCAGTTAGGTTCTTTGGGGCAACCGCAAATCTCGGACATCATATTATAATTTGCCCGCAACTCATCTCAACGAATCACGCGACCGACATTCCATTGTTTCAAGTGGTCGGAGCCTC